AAAAACACTCAGTTAACTGCTAAATAATCATTTTCAATTAGAATTAACACCATTGCAAATCCACAAAAAAATCATCTACACTAAAACCACACATAACTACATAGAACATATAAAAATATATTTTGCTACATACATACATAAATACAGTAAAAAGTGACACATAGCAACTTACCTGGAAGTTGGAACAATGAAATATAACAAGCAATAGGAAAATGAAGTAAATAAAATACTGACTAAGTTAAAACAATCTAAATACAAAACTATAATAATTCTAGAACTACTTAGTCCTGAAGTATCAATATCATTGACATGAAATTGTCATATTTATTATCTATGACTAGCGGCCCGGTACGTGCTTCGCTACGTATAAAGTGAAATAAAATAAACAAATCGGAACATCAAATTCATTTATTTAATCAAAAAAATATTTTATTTAAAATCGAAATCAATTGCTAGCTATTTACAACACACTTAATCCAAAACATTTGGATAAACAATATTTTTTGTTTTTCCATTTTGAGCATAAATAAACAAACGGCTGGGGGTACCGACTCTGGAACAGGCAACATATAACTGGCCATGTGAAAAACAATGTTCCTCCAAATTCACACCACAAACGTGAAGTGTTTGACCTTGGGCCTTGTTGATGGACATCGCAAATGATAAACGCACAGGATATTGTAAACGTTTGAACTCAAAAGGCATATCAGTTGGAATCATAGGTATACGCGGTATCAAAACAACTTCTCCTTTTGATTTACCAGTTAAGATCGTAGCTTCAATCAAATTTGGCAATAACTTTTTCACTGCCAATCTGGTTCCGTTACACAGTTTTGGTGGATTAATATTTCGCAATAATATAATCGAAGAACCAACTTTCAGATTCAAGCAATGCGGTGGCATACCAGCCGGCTCCAATGAATTTAAAAATTCAATTGGATAATTCATTGCCTCATCTTGATTCATAACACTGTCAATTGATTTATATTTCGTGACTACGCCTGGCAGTTTCGCTTGAATTTGAAAATTAATTGCATTGACATGAATGTTTTTCGGTGCTAAAATGGCGCGTTCTGTCAACCAATCATGATTTCTGTAATTCTGAACAATATTCGGAAAAACACATTCAATCAATTCATCTATCGATTGCGCAATTGTACAAAAATTGTTCGGTACAGCGATCAATCCGTTGGTTCTGTCGATTTGTATTTTGCCGTCACCAATTTCTAACAATTGTTTTGAGAACTCATGGGCAGCTGGATCATTTTGTAGGTGAACACGCATATTAATGTTTAGTGTCAATTTTTGTAGATATCTCCAAAGAACTGATGACTTCAAGCAGGCATTTATTTCATCAGCAGGAGTTGATCGAGGAATGACAGGCAATGTTTGACGAAAATCCCCTGAAAGTAATATCAAAGCACCACCAAAAAGCTGTTGATTACCACGTAAATCTTGCATTGTTCGATTGAATGCTTCTAGTGATTTTTTATTCGCCATTGTACACTCATCCCATAAAATAATTGACGTTAATCGCAGAACTTTTGCCATAGCAGAATTTCTCGATATATTGCAAGTTGGAGTTTCAATCACCTGTACATTCAATGGCAATTTTAATGCAGAGTGTGCGGTCCGACCACCTTCTAATAATGTAGCAGCAATTCCCGAAGATGCAAGTGCTAGTGCAATTTTCTGATCTGATCGAATAGTCGCTAAAATCAATGATATAACGAACGTTTTACCTGTGCCACCAGGTGCATCCAAAAAATATAATCCACCTGCATTATTGGAAACGGCTTGCATGATTGTATCATATACATGTTTTTGCTGAATATTTAATTTGGTTATATTCGATTGTACAAATAAACGCAAATCATTACAGTTGAATTCCTGCTCACGTTGCAATTCACGATCAAACAAATCATGCATGGGACGATTTGGTGCGGTCATACCCAATTGTACTAATGCTTTATTTGCAATCGTTAGACATATATCTTCAATTATTATCAAAGCTTCGTTGCACATTTCCAAGGTAATCAACAAATCAGGATTTCTTGCATGATGACGCATACGAATTAAAATATCTTCTGCCATATAATTTTTATATTTGTTCCATAATTCAAGTGGATTTGATGGCATACATGTCGATAATATAATGGCAAATAGCATTCGTATTTGTTGTGGATGAGCTGACGCATATGATGCTATGTGAAATCATATACGGCAACTTAGAAAAGTACACATAAATTCAGGACTCACCGTTTGTATGAATGCACTGCAAATGCAATTATGTGAAAAGAAATTTATCGCTGATAATATGCTTTAATCAAACCACGTCCAAAATGAACTGACGGCATGAATGACATAACAACGTGCTTGTCCTGTCAACAAAACTTCAAAAAAGTTTCTGTGAAAAAAGTTTCTATTGAATTCATTTATTACAAAAAATGTGACAAATGAGGAACCGCTCGACCGATTTTGTGCAAACTTCACATAAACCATCTACTAAATATGCCGACCAAATCCTAAGCATTTGGTTTGGATAGGTGAGCCCGTTCTTGAGTTATGGAATTACAACGAAAAGTGGCATTGATTTTTATATATATAGATTTCTTCCAAAGACAATACCATTAGTCTATAGTTAGCGAGGTCATATTTGTCAACCAAATGCCCGCTTCGTCCTGCCCAGGGATAGTACAGTAAAACTTTCACTGCACACTAGGTAATCATGATGATTCAGTTATGTACTTCATGGCAAACATACTAAGATATAATTTAAAACAAATCCTTTAGTAAGGTCTCCCCCACAAATTTAAGACCCTATATCAATAAAATTGAACTTAATCTTAGTTAAAAAAACCATAATAATGACCTTGTAAGCCACAGCCCTGTTACACCATAATTTTCAATTAAGCATGTTGTGGCAAGAGTTACATGGCTCACACATTAAGAAAACAGTATTCTACTTAGATATGGATCTCAAATTCTTAAAGATAGTCACAAATGATTAGATGTAGCATGAATGCACTCATATTTCTGTTATGTTCATACTTGTATAGTATTACAACTGTGTTGTACAACATACGATATCTATGTATAGTATATGTCAATGTCCTACAGACATGTTCACTTGTATCAAGGCAAACTCCCATAAGAACACAAGTTCATTACAGGCACTGTTCATATTATGTTTTAAGTTGAAATCAATGGTTTAAGTAATATGATTAATTTGTTATTATCTACGATGAACTTCGTATCAATTATGACTGGTGAAACACTTCATGTTAAAATACTGACATCTGACTGATCCAGAGTTAATGATTTTAACTTAGGAGAGATTCAGTTCATTACATAAGCACACACTGTTGTTAATTTGCTATTAACATGTGAAGTTTGAAGATTGCACAATGATGTTGATATTACACACTTTTCATTTCAATCATAATTACAACTACGTTTCAAGCTCAGAGACTATAAAACAACAATGTTTGTCACTAAAGCATGAGTCTTCGGAAATACAGTATTGAATTGTTTTAAAGGAAAATACATGTAACCGAGACAATCACTGAGGAAGAATGAGTGAAACAATGATTCAGTTCAGGTATTGACATAATAAATATTCATGTTAAAGCAATTCACACAAGCATGATTTGAATAACATAAAACTTTTGTATGAAATCTGCCAAATCCGTGTGAAATCATGAATCTTTTACATGATATTTGTGGTTACTTGACTTTACCGGCAAATTATGTTCTGTTTAAGAGTTAGGCCGACTTTTTGTTTTTATTGCCAGACATATTATCTTCATAATTAAATGTAGTACAATAAGATTAATTTTAACGGATAGGGTGTGTTGGGGAGTGGCCAAAATATAAGTACTCCATTAACTACTTAGAAGCTTATCAGAAATCAGTTTTTTAACCATACAGACCTCTGGAACAATCCTAATCATTCTGAACTTTGATTAGCAGTAATTGAGGAACACATTATTTTATTAGCCTTCTTATTTTCCTCATAGGCTGATGATAAAAGCAATTAAACAGTCACAAAGAGATATTTTAGATTTCATCCACAGTGTGAATTACAGAATCATGTTCTTTCTTATCACATCTAGGAAGGTGGACCAGAAATGAACATGCACACACAGATGTAGGATGTCATGGTGTTCTTAACAAAACTACTTGAATAGTTTAGGCACAGGTTAGTTCTGATAGGGTGTGGTACCATTGATTATTCACACCAATGTTCCATTAGTTCATTAACTAAATAGGAGCAGATTCGTAACATACTGCAGGTAGGAGTGCCATACTAGCATCACTGGGCATGTGGTAGCTGACGAAAACTGACAGAAGGCCAGCCCCATTCAGCAATGGGCGTTTTATTATAAAAATAGTTGGAATTGTAAAAATATTATTCACGTCACGCACGGGACAAGAAAGATTGATCATAATTTATTGTCATTCAAATTAGTTTCACCCAGAAAACTGTCTTATCTGACGACTATCTACATCAGAATTCTGATTTACTGCAAAAATACAGACAGATTCCAATAGTAAAACTAAAATTGTGGCTTATTGGCGGTAACATGAGGTAAAAGGCGGATTATAGTAACGAATCGATGTCGTTTCGTCTAGCAACAGGGCTGTGGCTACATGGCCTCTTATACATACCTATAACTATGTACACACCCCCCACTTTTTCCAATAAATGTTCAATAATCTTCCATCCGGTGGTCTTAATCGAGGTCCTAGCGCTCCACGGAAGGCGTACGTGACACTATCAACCCAATAACACTCCCATATCAGTACTAATGCGCGATCCACGAAACGTTTTACACCGGCGAAGCTACGCGCATACACCCAAGACGACTAACGACTTCGATATGCGATTTATAACTATTATACACACGAATTTACGACATTACAAATGCGCACCAACATTAAAGGGCATAAGCAAGGAAATACTGCACGATTAGGCAAAAAATATATCAGGATTTTACCCTTCTGTCAGCAATGTCCCTTCGATCGTCGCTCCAGCGGTTTTCGGGCGCGTCCTATACCAACATTAAGACTGGATTCTCACTTTTTGGCACATTTTGTATCTTGCACAGCACCACACTAAATATCGAATTATACACAAGTTTTTAACACGCTAAAATCCAACATTAGCTCTTCATACACCCTCGAATCTCGAGTTCAGTCCTTTTCACGGCCATTTGCAAATTGCGTCAAAGTTCCTAGAACGTGATTGGTGTTCACTGCGCTAGTGTAGTTTGATTCTGTAACGCCATCTCCTGATTAAAATAACAACTAAATTATTGGTTGTTCAAAAAAGAACCTTGCGTGGTCTGCAAAAGAACGACTGAAATATTAAATAAAGGGACTTACTACCTTTGGTTTGGTACAAAATAGGGTGCGGTACAGTAGAAATGAGAACCCCGTGACGTCAAACTGGGCGTGAGAATAAGATGGCGCGAAATTTAAATGTCATGAATAAATAAATAAAATAATTAAAAGTATTCGTAAAATTATTATAATGAAGTTATTTAAAATAATAAAGGAAGCATAATTAGAACGCTGTAGTTATTTGTTGCATGTGTTCAGAAATATAAGAAAAGTCATCTCATTCTAACCATACTCCGATAATTCTTCGATCTATCTGCGTTCCTCTACACCCAGCACCAGTATGTTAGCAGAAATGATTATTTTTACCAACATTTTTATTTGTATTTAATTCAATTTTACGTCAGTCATATAAATCACAAATGGTTACATCAACCTAGCATTAACCACTAACAGTTTGTTTTATTGTTTCTACACCTCATAGCATAGCTGAAATTCCCAAAACCTTTTTTCCTTACACACCTTAGTTATTAACCAATTTTAGTAACAAATTGATCAAAGTGATTGCATTTTCCTAGTTTATTTATTCCTGTAATTCACTCTATTCGTTTGTGTGGGTTTGGATAATTTTGCTTTAGGTAGATTAAAGGTAGGTAGGTATAGAATGCAGAACCAAGACAATTCACATCAATACAACAATTTTCTTATACGTAATTAATAATATTTGAATAGAAATGTTTTAAACAATAGTTATTGAAAATAATTTATTATTTACGTATTTCTTTGAGAAATGTGTACACGTAGCTTTATATATTTTTTACTGACAACACTCTTCCAAATGTCAATAGTAGTCTAAGCTGATTGGCGGAACCTGAGTAATCTACTTCCTGATTCGTCAACATTCGCGCTTGCGCAGTTTGCCAATCGCTGGATTGCGTTTACCTTGTTGTATTTTCTTTCTTGTCATTTTACGATTATCAGTGAAGTCCATTGTGTAGTCAGCTGCATTGTTTGTTATTGTAAAATAATAAATAGTACTATAGACGTATTTAAACTGTCCGCGAGTGGCGTGTAACGTGTTATCACAATAATATTTGTGTTAAACAAAATATCCACTGAATCCTTGAAATAGGATTTTGTTTAAGTGTGATCATTTAAATTTGGTGCGATTCGCAGTGGTTCGCGACTATTCTATTGGTGAGTAATTAATAACTATTAATTAATTAAAGCATATGCATATTAAGTCTAATAATTTAAGGTAATTTTCCGACAACTTCAAATTACTTTTTGTAAGGATCCGCTTAAAAAAGAAGGTATTACGCATTGAAAACATACTGTTATTGTCCTTATTTTCTTTCCGTTAATAAAGTTGTAATTTTATAAATATCTGGCAATTAATTGATACAGCAAAATAATATTTTTTATCCAGTATTAAACTTGAATAATATTTATTAAATTTTTACTTGTATTTTAAAAACAGAATAACAATCCAGCCAGCTGATTTAGTTGTCATTAAAAAAAGTTTATTGGTAGGTAGTTAGGACAAAGTTATCCTGCTTAGCACCATATTAAAACAAACTCAACCGAAAACAAAAAAAAAAAATGGAATTATATATTTTCAAACCGTTGTAGGCACAACCTATAGCAGAAAAATAATGAAAGAACAAAGAATATTCTATTACTTAACTCTAATTAATTTACTGACCTATTAATTTTTTATTTTAATCATAGTACTCGAAAGTATTACCTATACAGAGGAAATTTAACCCAAACAGCCGTCTAAGAATGAATAAAAATATATAAGGGATTTCAAAATGAAATGTACCTTAACTATTTCTTTGTTTACCTGTTATGATCAACACTGAATGTAAGACAAGCATTTGTAAGGAATACCATAATTTGAAAGTTGTAAGAAGCCTCCCTTTGACTTGCAATCATAGGTCAAGCAGTGGATATTTTGTGCCGGGTATAAAATTATAATAAAGATGATGATGATAAAAATAAAAAATCAAAATCTGGAAACATTACAAACAGGAGTGGTCCAGCATAATAACCAATACAGCAATAAATTCATTAATAATAAGATACAGATACCTCTATTTATTTTATTTATTTGCAAATAACTGAATAGGTACTTGCATGGTTATGAGAAATAAAGTGTTATTTTATAAAACAGAGAAGTACCTACTTACCTATAGAAATGCCTGAATGAACTGAATTAACTCGTCGAGTACCGGTTTTGTAGACACAATTATAGAACAATAGGTTGCGGTCACCGGTGACCGCTTGGTGTTTGACAGTTTAATATTCAGTGGCTAGGCAATTCTATTTTCTTTAAACTAGGTATCTGTACCTGTTTTCAAAAACTAAAGGACATTACCAAACACAGTTACCAAAAATTTTTTTTCTGAAATTTTCTAAGCATTGGACTGCCTCCATTGACCGTTTTCTGATAAATTAATTACCTATGTTTCAATATTAAAAATTATTTTGTACTTAAATAAAATATGTTTTTTTAAATGGTTCGTATAATCTAATAAGTAGGTAAGGGAATTTATGAATATCAAGGGTAACAATTGTTGAAGCTTAGAATGGTCTACCTTAACAGTTAAAAACATAATTGAGAAAAAGGGAGATGTACCACTCTATGTCTACCATGTACAGTTCATCTACTTCAAATAATAAATTAAATGATATTTATGTTTTTTTATAATAACTATCGTGAGACATACTGAATTAACTAAAAATCGCGCAGCCTACGCGAGTAGGTAGGTAGGTCATCGCCATCGACCCACACGCTGCTCATAAGGAAGAACCCTCTGTGATTCGAAACTAGTAGCGTTTTTCTCAGTATTTTCACGTGAGAAACGGCGACTTTTAGTTAAATGATACTTATGTTATTAACTTGATCTCAAACCTGGTAACATTCAGACAGGAAGTCACACAGATCTCAGTCAGTCAGTTGGCGCAATTAAAATATCGCGTGACCCGACATCTCACGCGACACGGCTCGCGTGTACATGTAGGTGAGAATTTATACTGCAATCGTTCTTAGAAACCTCATCTTCTATCTAAGATAAGGAGTAGTAAGCTGTTTTATACACGAAGTCGTATCCGTAAGCGTATCCTACCTCTAATACGCTTTAAAAAAAGTCGACGTTTATCGCGCAGTCCGTCAGCGTCAAGTACCTAATGCTGCTCATGAATATGAGCCCCTAGTGTGACTTGAAACAAATCGGGTCACCTCGTCAAACAGTTACATTAGTAAGCCAATAAACATAAAATTAGTTTTTTTATCCGTCTTGCTAAGCTATTGTTTCGATTTTAGGAATGTTAACATCTTGCTTAAATGCTTAAGAAAGATGTACTTATTTAATCTATCGATAACCAACGGTCGTTCTGAATTTTCGATTTGATTGGTACGTAGGTACCTACGTTATTATCAAGTTAATAACTCAAAAAACGATAATTATCTACATGCAAATTAGCGGAAAAATCGGACTGTGCTATAATGAAATTCGCCCTTTGTACTTACCAGATTACCTACGAATTTTCGTAAAGGACGATGTTATCTATCGGATTACCGATAGATCAAATAGATAGAGAACCTGTTCCAAGCACAGGTTCGGTCCTGTATGTAGTACTGTTGTCTTCTTTGGGACGGCTCGGCTAAATGTTAGCTGGACACGTTAAAGCACATCAAGAGACATGCCAAGAGACTAATCAAAGCTGATGCGCTTGTAGCAGCCCGGCTCCAAAGCCTAGACCACAGGCGTAAGGTTGCAAGCTTTTCGATTTACTATCGGATGCATTTCGGTGAGTGTGTGGGGGATCATCGTATTCATACCACAAGACAATCGGCGAAGCGTCATCGATTCATGGTGTATGTCTCACCCACACGATTGACGCGCTTTGCATCAAACTTCCTTGTGCATACTGCTAAGGAGTGGAAATCTTTGTTACCTTTAAGCCCCGAGTGGATAATGGATATGTTGCTTATGTGCAGACGAGTTCCATTCCATAGTCGGCCGCATCCACGCTTCCCACCAGGCGAAATAGTGGCCAAACCTCGGCCCATCAATTATAAAAAAAATACATCATGGTGGTGGTGGGTCGATCGTGAAATTCTCATTAGACAATCATTTTATGTTTATATTTAGGTATCCTTGTTAATCTTAAGAGAGAATAGACAAATTTAATTTTATGTTTTTTTTAAGGGGGGAAAATCATCGAATGACTGCTCCCGCCTGGGTGAGGCGGGAGGGAGTGTTAGACTCTTACTGACTAAAAACCACCGCGTTCCTTCTCCTGCACGTCGAGCCAGACCCGGTTACCCGTTAGGTTCTCCGCGACAAATTTAATTTTATGTTAGTATTTTATTATGCACGACAGCAAATCGGTTGGTGTTTAAACAAGAAAATTTTCTCTATAATTGAGAAAACCTCAATAAAACAATTAACGTAACGTTATTTATTGCTAATTAAAATAATAATAATCCACTAATTAAGTTTTATTTAAGGTTTGCAAGCGGCAATAATAAATTAATGTCATTCGTTACTATGGCTACCGAAAGTTAATACGCATTTTTTTTTAATTATTGTTGTACACAATAGTGATGTAATCAGTATACCATTAACTTTATAACTCTGTAGTACGAGTAGAGTAGAGATCAACATCTCTGTGATGGGCAATTACTACTTGCACGCTTTTCTAATACCTCTTGTACATTCATTTCTTCTATTTTCATGCCCACTTGATAGTCATCATCAGATCAGGAAGTCCACTACTGTACACGTACCCCCCTCAATTACTTCTAGCTAGACCGACTGGTCACGACCATCTACATCTAGCAACTCCCAGATAGTCACACAGCGCACCGTGGAACATTTTGTTTAATAGTAAGCCCTTTATTAT